GTATGCAGTGTCCTTCTCTATTTCTTGTGATTATTTTTGGTTTCAAGTCTATTTTGTCAGATATTAAAATGGCTACACCATCTTGTTTCTCAGGTCCGTTTGCTTCGAATATGGTTTTCTAACCCTTTACCATGAGGTAATGTATATCCTTGAAATTCAGGTGTTTCTTAGATGTGGCAGGATGGATCCATTCAAGTAGTCTTTGTCTTTTTGTTGGGGAGTTGAGAACATTGTTATTTTGATTCCTGTTATTTTGCTGTTTTCTGTGTGTGTTTCTCTTCTTTTGACTTTGCTGGTTTGATATTATTTCCTGTGTTTTCGTGGTTGTAGTTAACCTTTCTAGGTTAGAGTTTACCTTCTAGTACCTTCTATAGGACTGTATATGTAGATAGCAATTGCTTAACTTTGACTCTAACATAGAATGTCTTACTTTCTCCATTGATGGTGATTGAAGGTTTTTCTGGGTATATTAGTCTAGGCTGACATTTGTGGTCTCTTAGACTCTGCCACACATCTGTCCAGGCCCTTCTGGCTTTTAGAGCCTCCATTTAAATTTGGGTGTAATTCTAATAGGTCTGCCTTTATATGTTACTTGGTCTTTTTCCCTTGTAACTTTTAATATTCTTTCTTTGTTCTGTATGGTGTTTTGGTTATTATGTGTCAGGAGGACTTTCTTTTCTGGTCCAGTCTATTTGGTTTTCTGTAAGCTTCTTGTACTTTGATAAGCATCTACTTCTTCAGGTTAAGAAAATTTCCTTCTATGATTTTGTTGAAAACATTTTCTGTGACTTAGACCTAGGTCTCTTCTCCTTACACTATTCCTATTAGATATTGTTTTTTAAGTGTGTCTCAGATTTCCTTAATGTTTTTTGCCAGGAGTTAAACATTTTCTGTGACTTTGACCTAGGTTTCTTCTCCTTACTCTATTACTATTAGATATTTTTTTAGTGTGTATCAGATTTCCTTGATGTTTTGTGCCAGATTTAATGTTTTCTTTGACCAGTGTATCAATTTCTTCTAATGTGTCTTCAACACTGAGATTCTTCCATCTCTTGTATTCTGTTGGTGAAGTGTAGTGATATGCAAAGGAAAGCCTTTGTGTCCCGCTTTGAGCTAAATGTATGGCAAAGCCTTTGTGTCTGGCTTTGAGTAAAATGCTTCAGCAAAGCCTTTGTTATGTTTGGGTTAATCAGTAGAGGCTGAGAAATTGTTTTGAGATTGTTTAATTTTTGAGGAAATGTTGTCTCTTTGCAAAATCTTCACTTGATGCTACATGAGAGTTTGTACCAACCTGAACCCAAAAGACACCTCTGGTAAACTTGGAGTTCTTACTTTTGATTATAGTTAGCCATAGTCAAAAGGGACTGAGATTTGTGTGGGTTGTCTTCTGTCACAGGCAACAAGAACAAGATGACTTTGATAGTTGGAACCTTTCCCAGCCCCAATTAACCTTGTACATGTTTGGTTAAAGTAACTGAAATTAGCTAGTTGGGTGTTGGTCTTTTCCAAGAAGGGTGTACCTCCCACCCCCGCTCCTTTAGAAAATGAAGGCTTATCATCTTGGTGAGCTTCTCTCTCTACTTCAGCACCTACAACAGACATCAAGGAAGAGTGAAGCTTGCCTGTGTGGTTCCTGTTTGAGCACCTAAATTTTTCATTTCTAGTTTTATCTCAGTTTGGGTTTTCTTTATTGATCATATTTCCACTTGCAAGTCTTGAGCGGTTTTCTTCCCACTGTGTTTCCCTGAATTTCTTTAAGGGATTTATTATTTTTCTCTTTAAGGTCCTCTCTCATATTCATAAAGACTGTTTTAGGGTCTTCCTTTTGTGCTTGAGGCTGTGTTAGAGTTTCTGGGCTCTGTGGGAAACATATCCTGGATGTTATTGTGTTTTTATGCTGGCGTCTAGGCATCCAGGATTTCAACTATTGTGATTCTAGGTGCTGAATTGTCTTTGTTGAACTTTCTTGTCTTTGTTGGGTGGGTGTTTATTCCTTGGTTTCTATTTCCTCTCTGGTACTTAGGAGAGTATGGTAGCTGTGTGTTTTGCCTGTAAGAAAATTTTCTGGGATACTGATAGGTGTAGACTCTGGGGGTTCTGGGTGAAGGGAGTTTCTGGGTATTGCACCTTGAAACTTAATGATGACCATGGACCCATGGACTTGTGTCTGTGGAGGAGCTTCACAAGAAGCAGGGTGTTCCACCAGCATCTGCTTAGTTAGACCCTGGGAATGCGGGCAGAGTGTGAGGAAGAGGCTTCAGCAGTAGTGTGCTATGGAGCTGGGGATGAGACTGAGGATTGACCTTGGAGGAATGGAGGGAGAGGTGAAGGTCTGCAGTTAGTGAGCTTGCTTCCCTGGTCAGAGTGGCCTGTGGGTTCCTGAGGAGTGCCTGCTGGAGTTTGGGACTGGGACAAAGCAATGTTTGGTGGGAGGAAGTTTGAAGAAGATCTGTGTGATTCCATGGAGATGGGGGCAGCAGTGTTCTTCTACAGAGCTGGGGATGAGACTGGGGGATTAGACTCAGAGTGCAGAGGGAAAGGTGAAGATCTGCAGTGAGCCTACCTGCTTCCCTGACCAGAGTGGCCTGTGACTTCCCAGGGAGTGCCTGCTGGAGTTGGGGGACTGGACAAAGCAAAGAGTTGGGGGAGTGGAGTTAGCAATGGAAGATCTAAGGGATCCAATGGAGATGGTGCAGAGTGAAAAGGGTTGTTGCAGCAGAAGGTATGCTGCAGATCTGGTAATGAGGCTGGGGAACTGGATTTAGAGGAGCTGAGGGGGAGGTTGAGATCTGATGTTAGCCTACCTGATTCCCTGGCAGGAACCTGTTTTCTTTTTCCATCCCATATTGAACAAGCAGGGAAAACCATATGGATACAAGAAAATGTTTAAAAGCACATGCTGTACTCAGGAGACACAGCAGAGGACAGGTGATATTTCAAATGGTGTTTAAAACATGAATGTACCAGATAGTGAAGAGGAAAGGGAACAATCCAGGTAGAGTATGTTATAGCAATACGATCAGAGGTATGATTCAGGAGCCATGAGTTCCCTAGATACTGAAGAAAAAAGAAGAGTGTGCGATTTCTGCTAATTCACTTTCTGATGAGTGATCTAGTGGGTGATATGGGTCCTTAGTTCTTCTGCATGTAATTATCAGATGAACACTTGCTAAGAACGTGGTACCTGCAATCCAGCTGCCCGGTTGGGGCATGCAAGACTGAATCATTGCAATAGTTTAGGCTTCATCATCTTTACCCTCCATACTAGCTGTTGGTACCTTTCTAGTTCAGAAATCTGAACATAAATGTCTACTCTAGATGTCTTCTCTAGTGGTCAGAAAACAACTTTTGTGAACTTTCTGGAGTTATCTTACCTGCTGTCCTAAATCCGCCTATACTTCTTTTTTGTTTTTCTTTTTTTTGTTTTGTTTTGTTTTGTTTTACAGTTTCTTCCTGCTTAGAACTGCTTTTTCCAATCTTCTTACAAAGGCATTGTCACTTTGGTCTAGTTTACTAAATCCCACTTTAATACTCCATTCACATGTCATCTACCTAAGAGACTGTTCTTGTTCCCATGTTTCTCCTCTGTGCCTCCTGGATTCCATCCATGTACCTGTCCTTTTTTGTTGCTGTTGCTGTTATTTTGTTGCCATTTTATTATTTCTTAGTTATATTTGTTCCTTCAGGATTTCACAAATGTATTTTGATTATATTCAATGCCCTCTCCCAACAGCTCCCAGATCACCTCTCCATGTATGTATTCTCTTTTAAAATATCAAGTCTAATCTTTGCTATTCATGTACTCTCAGATATGTGGCCCTACACTGAAACTCAGTTAATCTATCCGAAGCCATACCCTTAAAGAAAACTGACTTCTTCCTCTGATTATCCGTTGCCAGTAGCTCCTCTGCTAGGGGTGAGACTTTCTGTCCACCTCTCCTCTCCATGCTGGGATTGTGTCTCTCTTGAGCTTATGCGTGCCTCGTGCATACTGCCATAGCTGCTGTAAGTTCATATGTGAACTCAGATACATATGTGAGTTCAGTTACCCTGCTATGTCTGGAAAACACTATCCTTGGAGCCATCCATCACCTCTGGCCCTTAGAGACTTTGTCCCATCAAACCCATGCCTGCCCCCTAAGGCTTTGATGAACTCTTCAAGAACTGGACTCTTGTGTTATTTGTCCTTTTTTGTATCCTTAGCCATCTGAAACATACTAAGCATTCAACACATATCTGTTAAAAGAATGTATGTAAAAAGAACATAAAATGTTTGACAATGGTTAGCTATCTGAGACTAGCTGGGTTCACAGGGTTTTCTGAATGGGACACTGCCTTAAGTGTCCCAGACTTAGACTTAGAATTCTGTCTTCAAACCCTAATACATGTGTTCCTACCCCTATTCTCTATGATTCTTAAAAACCTATTTCTAAGTTCTTAAAAGGTCTCTAGTCTATTGCTGTATTTGTCTTTCTATATCTATATATTCCATATGGATAGGACTGACTTTTTTGAAAATGTAATTACATCATTTACCCCTTCCCTTCCTTTCCTCCAATCCCTCCCATGAATGCCTTGATCTTTCTCTCTAATTCTTGGCCTCTTCTTAATTGTTCTCTCTCTCTCTCTCTCTCTCTCTCTCTCTCTCTCTCTCTCTCTCTCTCTCTCTCTCTCTGTGTGTGTATGTGTCTCTGTCTCTCTCTGTCTCTCTGTCTCTGTCAACAGTTTCTACCATTTGCACAGTATAGCTAGTGCAGAATTCATCATTCTGTAAGCTATTCCTAATTTGTCTGTTAGATGTTCTTTTTCTTTGTGCAGGATTGAGGTGCACGAGATGTGCTGTAGGTGTATATCAAATGGGACTGGCCACCACACAATCTCTATACCTTTTGATCAGTTGTGGTTATCAGTAATGGTCTCCAGATATATTGTATATATGCACATGATGACAATGAAAAAAGAGGCCATGAATTTGAAAGAGCAAGGAGGTGTATTTGAGAGTGTTTGGAGGGAGGAAAGAGAAGGGAGAAATGATAAAATAATCTCAAAATAAATGAAAAAAGAGCTTCCTCCAGAGGAACACAGAAATCATTACCTTGTGTCCTTGAAAATCTTGGGTATTTTATTATTTTTGCATGTTTCGTGTATATGTATGTTCATATGTGTGTACATGTGAAGTAGAATAAGTTTTTTAAAAGACCAATTGTTAGATACGGATGTATTGATTTATTTCATGATTTACTTAAATACTGCTTATGCTATCTAGTTAGGAAACATGACTTCACTTGCTACCTGGAACAGAATGACCTGGAGAAATAGCTGAAACGATAGGTTGTTGCTGACTGTACTATATGCTTCTATAAACTCTTGCTTGCCTGCCCCACCTTGTCATTTTGGAGTAGAAAATGAGAATAGGAAAAGGACCCAGCCTTTCAGGAGGTATCCTGGCTTTGGTCCACTGGTGACACCTCCCCTCTTCCACTCTCATTGGTGTTGGAGTGCTTATTCCAGAAAGATTCGTGCAACAAATGTGGTGGCCTGAAGTTCACATTGGCTGTCTTCCTCCATTGCTCTTGCTCTCTACTTTATTTACAGAAGCACAACCTGAGGATTGAAACTACAGTTCTCCACATTAGCTAGTCTGGCTTGCCCTGGGAATCCCATCTCTGCCTCCCAGGTGTTGATAATACAGGCAGCCACCAGGACTGCTCAGCTTTTGCTTGAGGCCTTGGGATCCACACTGGAATTCTGAAGCTTACCGACCAAGCGCTTTATCCAGCCCTGACAGCTTAACTTGTCTCTTCTCTTTCTTTTCTTTTCTGTTGTTTTTTTGCTTTTCTTTTTTGTTGTTTTTTGAGACAAGTTCTCCTTATGTAGTCTTTTTTGCTTGTTCACTTGTTTGTTTTTATATCCCATTCCAAGTTTCCCCTGCCTCTCCTCTTTCCAGTTCCTCCCCCACCACCTCCCCTCTCCCCCAGCCCCCAATCCCACTCAATCCACTCCTCCTCCACTGTTTCTCCTCAAATATAGACTGGCCCCCCACGGATTTCAGCCTGCCATGATATATCAAGTTGCAGTGGGACTAGGCACCTCCTTTTCTCTTCAGGCTGGATGAGGCAACCCAGTAGGAGAGATGGGTCCCAAAAGCACGCAACGCCGTCACAGACCACCTCCTGCTCTCACTTTAGAAATGTCACAGGAAGAACAAGTCACACAACTGTGACATATGCAGAGGGCCTGTGTCAGCCCCATGCAGGCTCCCTGGTTGTTGGTCCAGTCTCTGTGAGCTCCTGTGAGCTCAGGTCAGTTGATACTGTGGATTTTCTTGTGATGCCCATGATACTATTGGCTCCTACAATTCTTCCTCCCCCTCTTCCGCAGTATTTCCTCATCTGCCCAATGTTTGGCTGTGGGTTTCTGCTTCTGTTTCCGTCAGTTGCCCAGTGAAGCCTCTCTGATGACAATTGAGCTAGCTGACCAAATACAAATACAAATACCTATTAATTAGACGTTTGAAAGATCAATAATTTGTTTACATTTTCTCATTTTAAGAGGATTTCTTGATGACTGTTTTGGTGCGGGGGCTCATTTACCTTTGTTTTTAAGGCTGGAAGAAATTATGCTCCCACCCACCCTTAGCTCCTTCCCCTCTAGCTGACTCCATGAAGAGACAGCCTAATTAGGGTTTCACCAGACTCAGGATGTATGTGTGTGTAGCCTTCAAGTTCAGTGAGAATGAAGCAGTGGGAGTCACCAAAGCATGGCATTTAGAAAGCTTCCACCCAGGGATCCGTGGGTAGTAGCTGCCTCTGTCTCTCCTGTGAGTCATGTCTCTTCGCGCTCTCACTAAATTCAGTAAGACAGAAAGGGAAGAGTCAGGAGAGGGAAAAAGGCGGTGGATCATGCTTATGACTGATTATAAGAATAATATATTCCTGAAATCAAGAGGCAGGGTGGGGTACAAAGAAAGGCATCTGTTCTGCTGAGGATTTGACTGGTTAGGACCAAGCTGATGCAGAGACGAAGGCAAAGATGCATACAGGTGAGCATCACCTCACTAGACCTCACGAGCAGCCTTTGCTGATTTTTTTTATGGTGGGGGTGGGGTCGGGGATGACAATGGCAGAGAAATAGGCTGCAGTAAAAAGTGGGGGAGGCATAGAAGAGATGACATTTTCTAGCCTGCTCTCTCTAGTCCTGTATTTTTCCTTTTCTCTCTTATGACCATTAGTCTAGAAAGGAAGCAGAGGTTGGTTACCAAGGAAACCGAAGCTAAGTGTGTTTGATTGGTTAACTTTGAAATAAAGACAAAATTGCTATTCAGAATACAAGCTCTTGTGGAGGATGGGCATTAAGCATGTTAGACATCTATTAATCCTTATAATTACTTTTCACACACACACACACACAGAATCACAAATATGTAAACGATAAAACCATATTTTCCTACAGGGTTATTCGGGACTCTTCAGAAAGACCTTGAACTCTACCCCCCAGTGCCTTCTATTCTTCCTGCTGGCCCCACACTGTTACTCTCTCATTGTGCCCCTTGCCTCAGTCTGAAACCCTAATTAGACTGTCTCATCATGGAGTCAGCTAGACGGGAAGGAGCTAAGGGTGGGTGGGAGCATAATTTCTTCCAGCCTTAAAAAACAACAAAGATATGAACCCCCACACCAAAACAGTCGCCAAGAAATCCTCTTAAAAATGAGAAAATGTAACCAAAATGTTGATCTTTCAAATGTCTAATTAATAGGTATTAGTATTTGGTCAGCAGAGTTTCATGCAAATGTAATGGAAATGCTTAAATACTTTGCCATTCCTTATACACTGCTGCCCCTAGTGTAACAAAGAATGACTGCATCCTCTGAATTGATGAAGGCCATTAAAACTGGGTTTTTTTCCTTCCCCATTTGACTCTTTTATACAGAGCTTTAGACCTGTATCTATATTTTTCTACATGATAGAATATCTGTTAAGAGGTTTTATTGTAAAAGACCAAAGGATATAGTCAGCCAGAGCCTGAAGATTCTCCTGATGTGAAAATAATATACTTTCTGATATAAACATTGTCTGTATGGGAAATAGTGTTCAATTTTGACAAACCCAACCTTTGTAAACTCTGAAAGGACTTCAGAAAATCCGTGCTTATGTCAAATGTTTTCTAATAATGTGATTTCTGGGTTATTTGAAAATTAATGTGAAGCCTGCTTTAATAAGTATTAGGCAAACAGGGTGTGTTAAGATCTGACTAGATTCTCTTATAAGATTGGGAGAATTGCCCTAGTAAATGAAAAACTTAGATTGGAGTAGGTATGTGTGTGTGGCTCTGTGTCTATGTGTGTCTGTGTCTGTGCTGTGTGTATGTGTCTGTGTATCTGTGTGTGTGTGTGTGTGCGTCTGTGTATGTGTGTGTCAAGAGTATAAGATTATAGTGATGAGAATGTATTGTGCGCCACTGGCTTTGCTAGAACTTGCATTATTTTGTATGAATATTATAATCATGAAATAAGTTAGGTATCTTAACTAAGTTGGCTCTTGGCTTGATTCTCTGAGGCTAACTTCTTGTGAATAGCAAAGTGAACAGAATTGTTATTGTTGCTAAGACCTCTCTGATATACTTAGTTACCATATTCCTTTGTAGTTTGAAGGAAATTCTGGTAGCAAAATTCATTTTCATGGGTTAAGGTCAATTGCCATGCAGTAATTGTCTGGTTTAGACATTTATCTTCCTCAATTTACAAATGAGGTACCACCTGCAAATAAGAAGCTCCAAACCCAGAAGTTTCCGTTTCTGAAGTGTGTGCTTTGAAACTACGCCTTACTGTGTCTGCCTGTCCAATTCCTCTACTTCCCTCTTGTAGTAAGAACTGAAGTGTTCATCTTAAGACATTTCATTGATACTTCTTACAAGTTTTACCTAAAACACTAGGGAGGCCTTCACATATCTCAGTGCTTTATCAAAAAGGCCATTATATAGTGATGCAGTGTTTACCAATAGGAATATATTTTGAAACGGGTGCTGTTTGGTGATTTCTTCACTATGGAAACGTCCTATAGTGTGCTATGGCATCCCCAGATGATGTGCCATCACATATGTGATCTGCTGTTGAGAGAGGTACTTGTGCAGTGGATGAGACACATGTATAAATGAGCTGACCTGGACCCAGCAGTTGCATGCTCACTTCTTCACTCAACACTTTCATCACTGGGGGAGGTTACTGAATGCCTATAGGATTCATACATTAATTTGGATGAAAATCTAGGATACTGGTGTACTGTATTAGCCTGATAAAGATGCTATAACAGAATACCACACATCAGATGTGTGTTAGACTTTTCATCACTGAGAAAGAAGCACCAGAGAGAAACAGTTCAAAGAAAGATTCAGTTTGGCTCCCAGTTTGAGAGGTTTGAGTCTGTGGCTTGGTCTGCACTGCTGAGAGGCTGTGGTAAGCTAAGGCATCATAGCAGAGGATCCTGGAGGAGCAGAGCAGCTCAGCACATGGCAAGACATAGCCCTCAGCGGCACCCCCTGTTACAGCATACTTCGCGATGGATATATGCATATGTATGCATTGAGCTTAAGGCCTCACATGTTAGGCAAGTATTCAACCAAGAGCTATGTCCTCAGACCACTGTGTTGTTGGTTTTGGACAGTGTCTCACTAACTTATCCAGGCTACCCTTGAACTTGTGGTCTTTTCCCCTTAGCCTCCCAATGTTTAGGATGACAGGCCTGTACTATGGGGTCCAGCTACTTCAAAATTTCTGAGGAAACCCCATACTGTTTCCCATAATGACTATGCTAATGGACATTCCCAGAATCGCTGTGCAACAGTTCACTTGTTTCTAACCCTCCCCAACACTTGTTTTACTGTCTTTTTTACCATGGTCTTTCTAACAAATATGAATCTGTGTCTCACTGTGACATTCCTTTGTCTTTCCCCCAATGATTAATGATGTTAAGCACATTTTCATACACACTAACAATTTATAGGTCTTTTACTTTTCTCATTGCTGTTGGCAAATGGCTGAGAAGATGTAAGTTACAGGAAGAACTTACCTGCTTTGGCTCATAGTTTGAGGATGTACTCCATTGCTGGAGGGAAGACATGACTGCAGGAATGGTTTTGTGACTGTGGTGGCAAGGGTGGCAGACTGTGTGCTGCTTATAATCCAGTGTGCCAGGAAGGAAGGAGAGGAGGGAAAGGAGACAGGAGTGAGAGACAGACAGACAGACAGACAGACAATGAGATGCTTGGGGCTAAGCCTCTGATCCTCAGTGAACCACTTCCTCCACCAAGGTCTTGCCTTCTAAAGGTTCCACAACCCAAATATCACCAGCTGGGGATTAAGCGTGCCAACACAGGAGTCTGTGTGGGTGTATTTCACATTCAAACCCTAACAGTCTTCTCTGGAAAAATATTGATTCAAATCCTTTGCCTTCATTTTTTTCTGCACTGGGGATTGAACTAGGCTTCACACATGCTAAGTAAGTGATCTGTCACTGAGCTATTGATGCACATTCATGCCCCTCTGCTCACTTTTAATTGGGTTCTTTTCATCACTATTGAGTTGTCTAAATCCCTTATATACTAGGGGTGTTGACACTGTTGTATATGATATATGACAAATGTTCTCTGAGAACATTTCTGATGGACTCTGAGACAGTGAATGCTTTAACCTAATCAATAAATAATTGCTTGGGTTTATAGTATGATGGTATTATTAGGACATGGGTATATTTGGAGAATGTAGGTTTCTGAGGGCATACTCTTCTTCACTGCTCCCTACCCTCTCTTGCCCTGCCCCTGTCCCCCACCCCTACAACCTGGATGATATGAAATAAGCAACTTTTCTCTGCCATATTTTCTCTGGTAATGTAGACTTTTTTCGCACCATGTTGATTGTTTGTTCAGAAACTCTTTGATTTGGTGCAATTTCATTTGTATGTTTTTTGCTTATGTTGCCAGTGACTTAGGGGACACATAAAAAATATGATATAACCAATGTCCAGAAGCTTTTCTGTATGTTTTCTTCTATTAGTACCAGGTACTAAGTATAAGTCTTTAATTGATTTTGAGTTGGTTTTTGTGTATAGGGTGGGAAGATACTTTAATTTCATTCTTTTTATATAAACTAGAAACAAGGTTGTTTTACCTGTCAATCCCAGTTCCCTCTCTCTCCCCTCCTCCACTGCCCCTCACCAGCCCCCTATCCCATCCCCTTTCTGCTCCCCAGGGAGGGTGAGGCCCTCCATGGGGGATCTTCGAAGCCTGTCACATCATTTGGAGCAGGGCCTAGACCCTCCCCTGTGTGTCTTGGCTGAGAGAGTATCCTTCTATGTGGAATGGGCTCCCAAAGTTCATTTGTGTACTATGGATAAATACTGGTCCACTGTCAGAGGCCCTAAAGATTGCCCATGCCTCCGAACTGACACCCACATTCAAGGGGTCCGGGTTGGTCCTATGCTGGTTTTCCAGCTATCAGTCTGGGGTCCGTGAGCTCCCCCTTGTTCAGGTCAGCTGTTTCTGTGGATTTCTTCAGCCTGTTCTTGATCCATTTGCTCATCACTCCTCCCTCTCTGCAACTAGATTCCAAGAGTTCACCTCAGTGCTTAGCTGTGGGTGTCTGCCTCTGCTTCTGCCTCCATTAGCCACTGGATGAAGGCTCTAGAATGGCAGTTAAGGTAGTCATCAATCTCATTATAGGGAAAGGGCATTTAAGGTAGCCTCTCGACTATTGCTTAGATTCTTAGGTGGGGTCATCCTTGTATATCTCTAGACATTTCCTTAGTGCCAGATTCCTCTTTAGACCTATCATGGCTCCCTCTCTTATGGTGTCTCTTTTCTTGCTCTCTTGTAATTTGCCACTGACTGAATTTTCCTGTTCCCTTAATTTCTTTCTTATGCATGCTTTCCCAATTTATGCTAGAGACTTTGTGTTTCTGGCATCTGGGATGTGCCTATTTATTTCTGTGATTTGTTTTTATAATGCTGCATTGGTGTGTGTGTGTGTGTGTGTCTGTATGTCTGTGTCTGTGTGTGTTTGTACCATGCTGAGAATTTGGTGGGGTTGGTATTTGGGATATTTTGTCCATCACTTTCCCACTAAGATAAATCCTCAGCAGCCCTGTTCTTTTTTTTTTTACCATATGTAAGTGTATGTGTGCACACATGGTAGCTGCCATTTTGGATTTTCACTCCAAATTTTAAACTGATGCTGGCCTGCAGCTTGTACAGGAGGTGCCACTTTTATAATAAAGGCAGAGCTACAAGAAAGCGTCATAGGTTCCTGGGACTCAGATATGTCCTAATGGGAATTATTAATAAACAAACAAAAAAGAAGAGTCTATTTTCTTTCAGGTAAGGCTTGTTTGATAATTCTATAGAAATGTGGGTTAAAGTAGAACATGGATATCAAAATGAGTCTTAAAAGGAAATATATGATTTCTAAAAATTATATTTCTCCCATTTACTGTCTGTGTTCTCTGCTTTTCTTGTGTCACTTTCTCTGACCATTCATTATGTCAGGAAGAATCACTTGTTTGTACACAACAAAACCCTTCTAATGAGCACATAATAGTCTCAGTCCATGAGTGTGGGTGGATGAAAATGCATCTATCATCCATTTTCTATAATTCTTGACATTTTCTCCCTCACGGCTTTGAAAGATTCAGCTTTGGTTTCCCTGGCAACAATCATTATCTTTTTGCTTCAGCCTCTTAACAATGAACAACAAAGAGGAAGGTAGGCTATTACCTGTTCCCGGTTGCCAAGCACAATGTCCCTGCCTGAGCTGAATCACTCAATAGAGATGAGAAGCAGAGCTGTTACTAAGACAACAGAATTATGGATGCATCTCCTTGATGAGGCCCCATTTCTTCCCCTTCTTTCTCTCATACCAAGTAAGAAAGGGAGAACTCTGGGATAAAAATACTGGCAGTGAACAATGAAACCATGAAATGATGCTTTTCTCCATTTCAGTAATGGAGGGATTACTTTAGAATAACATTTAAAAAGCAAAAATAATGTTAGAATGAAAAGTTCTTTATAAAACATATGATAATTGATGTATACTTGAATGATATAAAACATATATAATATAAAATCAAACTATGTCAAAAATAATGACAATGTAAATAGAGTGCTTTGACTTATCAAAATCTCCAGTTGGACATCACAGAAAAGTGATATCTGAGCCCCATCCACCAAGATACTTATTAAGTACGTAAGTGATATGGCCATGAAATAAACACCAGTGTAAGATTCTGTGTGTGGACAGCCAAAAGGGAAGCTACCATCTAGAAGAAAAACCAGCCTTTAAGAATGTTGTGGGGTATGCACCAGAGAAAACTGCTCAGACATGGGTTTAAGTCAACAGAAAGTCATTTATCTGATCTGTGACTGCACTGAGTGTTCAGGATCCCAGTGTAGCCCCAAACCTTTCTCAGGGTGAGCTTTTAAGAACAAAAACAATATTCTGGGTTGACACACTTCAGTTAACAAGAACAGGTAACCAGAAGTGGAACTACAGGAGCCAAAAATCAAGGTTAGTGGCGTACAAATGGACTTTGAGTGCCCATCCCACAATGAGAGATGCTCTCTCAGCCTGGACTCTTGGGGGAGGGTCTAGGCCCTGCCCTGGATGAAATGACAGACTCTGGACATCGTCTATGGAGGGCCTCACCCTTCCTAGGGATCGGAGTGGGAATTGGGTGGGGGCTGGAGGAAGGGGTAGGAGGGGAGGGAGAGAGAGCTGGGATTGACCTGTGAAGCAAGCTTGTTTCTAATGTAAAAAAAAAATTACAAAAAAAATCAAGGTTAGTACTTTTAAGAGACTTTCTTGGAACAGTAGACTTTGATAAATTAACTTTGTTTTCATTTTGCAGGTGGTGCCATCTACATGCTGAATTTTGCAGCCTGAAGGGTGCATCCATCATGGATTCAGTTGTGCTAAGGTTTGGAGGCCTTCTAAAGTCTGAGGGTATGTTACAAAAGAAAAGAAAAATCTGACTTATTTCAAGAGTCAAGTTAGGTAAGGTATGGTGGTGCACACCTTTAATCCCAACATTCATAGTGCAGAGAGGCAGATGAATATCTGTGAGTTCAAGGTCACGCTGCTCTATGTGATGAGTTCCAGGTAATCAGAGCTGCATAGTGAGATTCTATCTCAAATAAATAAATACATATCAGATTAACCACACTTGAGAAAAATTCTCAGTTTGACTTGCCACACCCTCAAAAAATTATATTGAACTTGATATCGTCTAACTCCCTAAAACCCAAGGTCTGTGAAATATAAATTCTTTACTTTAGAAATGAACTTCAACACTTTCTTTTCTTATGTAGGCTCCTTGTACCTCAGTAACTTCAAGATTTGTTACAAATTGTATAGACAGTTGTGTTCAACCTAAAACATCAATTAGCCTGGAAATTAAAGCTCCAAATTGTATTACGTGGTTAAGATGAATTACTATTTGTACTTCTGCTAATTATTCTCTTTTTTCTTTGTTTTGAGATGGAGATCTGGCTTTATAACTCAAGTGGCTCATGGTTCTCTAGAGGAACAGAACAAATGTATGTATGTATGTATTTATGTATATGCACATATATATGCATATATACATGTATATACATAGATATTCATTGTGTTTGTGTGTGTATGTGTGTATGTGTGATTAGTGGTTTAAAATCTATGGTCTGATTGCTCTAACAATGACTGTCTCCTGGTGAAAAGTTCTAGAATGAATGTCTTAGCTGCTCTTTGTTGGGGGTAGCCATCAGAGAAGACTGCTTAGACATGGGTTTAAGCCAATAGAAAATCTATTAGTCAGCTTGCAACTACACTGAGTGTTTGGGATCCCAGCATAGCCCCAATCCTATCCCAGGGTGACTTTTAAGCACAAAAACTATGTCTTGGTTTGATATAAATCAGTTAACAAGAAGAATAGCTAGAAGCAGAACTACAGAAGCAAAATAGCAAGTTAGTACGTTTAGAGACTTTTCCAGGACTATGGACTTTGATGGATTAGGCCTTTGTTTTTAATTTTGACAGGTAGTGCTATCTATGTGCTGAGTTTTATGGCCTGAATAGCCCTTTCATCATGGAGTCAGTTGTGCTAAGGTCTAGGGCCTACTAAGTCTGGGGCCCTGTTATATTCCCCAATGGTCTTAGTGAATGAGTTAAACGATGTAGTCATCCTGCTCTAAAGAAGTTGAGTTGGCCCTAAAGACCATTAATTTCATTAAATATATAATTGGCCAAATAGATTTAGATGGGCCTGCTGCTAATCCAATCAGAATGAGAAGTAAAGGCCTAGCCAGTGCTGATATCAGAGTAGTTAGCAAGGGAGCCACAAGAAGATGGACTGGTACAAATTTTATGATTAATGTCTGTGGTGGTTTGAAAGATGGCCTCTAAATGGAGTGGCACTAGTAGGAGGTGTGACCTTGTTGGAGTAGGTATGGCCTTGTCGGAGGAAGTGTGTCACTTTGAGGGTGGGCTTTGAGGTCTCCTATGCTTAAGCTGTGCCCAGTATTACAGTTCACTTCCTGTTGCCTGTCAGTCAAGATGTAGAACTCTTAGCTCCTCCTCCAGCATTACCTCTGCCTGCTTGCCACCCACTGGGATGAAAATAGACTAATCCTCTGAACTGTAAGCTAGCCTCAGCTGAATGTTTTCCTTTATGAGAGTTGCTGTGGTCATGCTGTTCCTTCAGAGCATTAGAAAAGCTAACTAAGGCAATCTCTTTTGTAGTTTTCTCCAGCCATGACAAGTTTTTTTTCCAATTACTTCTGATTGATTGCCATAGAAACAGCAGGTTTTCTCCAAAGCCATATAGTCCCCCTTATCTCATGAGAAATAAGTCTGAGGCTCTCCTCTAATTTTGTGTGACCATTCCTGCAAGGGACTTTAACTGTTGTTTTAATATCTCTAGGTCCTGATCAACCTGTCTACTCAGTTTGGGAATCATCAGAAGAGGCACATTTAGTCAAACCATTGGTACACGCCCACCAAGTCGTCTCGGTAATTGCTGTTATCCAGATGAATTAACCCATAAGGCAGAGTAGCAGGCATCAGAATAAGGGCAAGTATATAGGTTAAAGGTTTTGTACATTAGACAAGTTTCATCCCCTTGTAAGTCCTCAAACATTAATCTAGGCTGTCACCATCACAGTGAGTTGTCAGTCAATGGGCTGACAGTTTTGTTAGTTCCTAACCCTATGTAGTGTCTAAGCATAACCAGCAATCCTGGCTGACTTTTGGATGGGAATAATTAACTCTATCCCCAGGTTTTTCCTGTTTCCCTAAGACCAGAATCTTTTTAAAGGAATTTTTCAGGAAGCCTCAGTTTTACAACCCCAGTCTTTACAATGGAAACTCCCTTGTTTCTGGAAACTAGGGGTCCAGCTGTAGTGTTGTAAACTCTGTATTTCTATCTTAGAAGACAAATTCCCATCTTTCTTTTTCTCTAACACAACCAGACACTTAGTGTGGACCTCAGCAAGTAAAGGTCAAGATGGAATATAAATTGCTGGTCTGTAGTCACACTAGCTAATGCTTTCCCTGTGTCTGTCTTCCTCAGTTTCCAGTCCAGGCCTGAGTGCAGTGGGGGGGGGTCCAAATGAGAGACCAACACCCCAATAAACTCTGGGGAACCTGACTTCATCCAAGACCTGACCTGCTAAGGGAGATAAAAGTGCTTGCCAGTTTTTATAGATAATCTTTTTTGGGTGGGTAGAAGTGTTCCCCACTCAGACTGAAACTGTTCAAATAGCTTCAACTCTCCAGTAACTGGTCCCCTGGTTTGGCCTCCTCCTAGCAATGAGATCCAACAATGTCCCAGCTATCATAGCCAAATCCTCTCAATTAATGGCCAGAGCTTTAGACATGTATATAGACTTCAGAGTTCTTGGCAGGTTAAAAAGAATAAACAAGACGTTAAAAGAAAATCTTACAAAACTCTCATTAGAGTCCAGAGGAGGATGGATAGACCTCCGCCCTTTGCTTTGCTTTGCCCTGCTTTATCTCATATTAGGGTGAGATTTACCCTCCGTGAGGCTATGTTTGGAAGACCTCCCCCACTGCTTCCCAGGCTTAGAAACTAGCAACTGGCAGGAACTATTTAACCATTCCTTTCTCAAGTCACTACACCCTCCAATTCTCCATACAGGCTATTCATTTAACTATCTGAGTCCATCACAAATTTCTCCTTGTTCAAGTACAGTGATACCATCTGGGTCAACTGAGTAGCCAAAGGGGCACTTAAACTAGCCTGGAAAGGGCCCTACAAAGCAATTCTTTTTACTCCTATGTCATTGAAGGGAGCTGGCATCACAACACCTAGGTCAAGAAAACAGAAGCCACAGATGCAGGTGCCAAATGGACTGTCTCTGGACTATGGACCCATTGAAATGAAGGTTTCATTGGGTCCTGAGCTCTTCTACTCCCTGAGTCTTATGTTTTGCACTTTGGGTATGAATACATGGTCATGGTCCAACCCCCACTGTCCTCAGATACAGAGAAGGTATTAGCTAGTATGACTACAGACTAGGGCTCTCTGTTTTTGATTTACTTGAGCACAAACTCGCATCTGGCTGAGGCATCCCACACTAGGCTGTCCAGTCTATGTATAGTACGCCTTGATCTGAGCAACTCAGAAAGTTTTGTGAACCTTAGATAAGTAGCTTGGTGAACGTCAGTTACCAGAGACCTGCCAGTTGTTTCTGGGAGAATGTTTCCCTCTGGTGTCCTCCGTTATCCTGTGGGTTTGAGCTGTCCATTTCTTCTTTACCATGGAGTCACAGGCAGCACTGAGTCAAGGGTCTGTCATCAGAAGTTTGTCATCAATAGTTTGTTGGACAGCCTTGTCAGTGGGCTGGCAGTAGAGTACAGCAATTTGTAGGGGAAGCCAAATAGCCTCTAGGAAAGCCACTATTTTCTAGTATTCTGTTTCCCAACAGTGACAAAACCTCTTTTTCTATAGATCGTATATGGACATGTGTGGTAGTAAAAGCATAGTGATGGTCCATGTATGTGTTGGTGCACTGTCCTTTTCTCCAACTGAGAACATGGGCCAGATAGGTCAGTTCTCTCTGGGCTGAGGTACTTGACTTGGGCCCAAATCAACTCACTTAAAGTAACTGCTGTAGCTCCCATGCACCTGGTCTCATCTTTCATCTGACAGTTAGGGATGAGCACCTGCAGGTTATCATCAGGCAAGAGGGTAACAGGATTGATGGTGGGGGCTCTCTCAAGCCAGACTCAAGGATGGGTCACAGAGTCATTAGGCAGCCAGCCAGCATTGGAGCTCCTCAGAGCAGGGCCTCAACCATGTTGTGCTGTGCTGTGAGTATGCGATCTTGACCCAGAGTTAACTTGTTTTGTTTGCTTGCTTCCTTTTTATTTGAATAGCAGTAGCTGCCACAGCTCTTAGACAGGTGGGCCATCCTGTGGCTACAGGGTTCAATCATTGGGACAGGCATGTCAAATGGCTTTTCCATGAACCCAAAGTTTAAGTTAAAACCCTTTTATAGTGTCTTTTTTTGTGGACAAAGATGAAAAGATTTTGACATCTGTAGTGGTAGGACTGGAGTCAAAGTCAGAGCTGTTTTTCAAGCCTCAAATGTCTTTTGTTTAGTCTAAGTTCAAATTAGGGATTCGGTACCCTCTTTGTGCTGGTATATAGAGGTTTTGCTATTTCCACAAACTCTGGTATCCAGGGGCAGCAATAGCCAGCTGTACCTAGGAACTCTTGAACCTGTGTCTTAGACTTTGGAGTTGGGGTCTGAAGGATGGCAGCAATCCTACTCTGAGACAGGCTCCCCCCCTTTTTTTCAATCCCTAGTACCAAAGAGTTTTATTTTATTTTATTTTTTATAAATTTTTCTTCAAATTAGAAACAATCTTATTTTACATATAAATCCCAGTTCCCTCTCCCTCCCATCCTCCCATGCCCCCACCGAACCCCCATCCCATCTCCATTCTACTCCCCAGGAAGAGTGAGGCCTTCCATGAAGGATAATCAAAGTCTGTCACATCATTTGGAGCAGGGTCTAGGCCCTCCCTTTTGTGTCTAGGCTGAGAGAGTATCCCTCTATGGGGAATGGGCTCCCAAAGTTGATTCATACACTAGGGATAAATATTGGTTCCACTTACAGAGGTCCCAGGCCTCCTAACTGACACCCACGTTCAGGGGTCCCCAGCTGTCAGACTGGAGTTCATGAGCTCCCACTTGCTCAGGTCAGCTGTTTCTGTGGGTTTCCCCATCTGGGTCTTGACTCCTTTGCTTATCACTCCTCCCTCTCTGCAACTGGATTCCAGGAGTTCAGCTCAGTGCTCAGCTATGAATCTCTGCTTCTGCTTCCATCAGCTACTGAATGAAGGCTCTAGAATAGCCTATAAGGTAGTCGTCAATCTCATTATAGGGGAAGGGCATTTAAGGTAGCCTCTCCACTATTGCTTAGATTCTTAATTGGGGTCATCCTTGTGGATCTGTGGACACATTCCTAGTAGCAGATTTCTCTTTAAATGTATAATGGTTCCCTCTATTATGGCATCTTTTCTTGCTCTCCTCTATTCTACCCTGGACTCAATCTTCCTGATCCCTCATGTTTTCCTTCCCTCCTCCTCTTCTCCTCTCCTCTTTCTTCTCCCTCCCTTCCCACTCCCCCCATACTCCCAATTTGTTCAGGAGGTATTGTCCCTTTCCCATTCTGTGGGGTCCATGTAGAGACAGACTCCTTTTGCTGGTAGCCAAGATGGGTAGCCTTCTACAAAGTAGGGCTTTCTTAGCTGACATTCTGTAGCCCAAGGTCTATAACTCTTGTAGCAGTCCTCAGTGGCCCTTTTATAATCTGTTTTTCCAGGAAAAATTCTCATGGAAGGGCAGGAATTCTGCATTTAATGTATTTAAATCTTGAGGCAACTTGGTCCAGGTACGTTGCCTGCTATAACCTCCTTCTGGGTCTGTCCATTTAAAAGGAAAGGTGGGTTGGCTCATCTCTGCCAATGGGAAGCAGAAGAATGCATCTTTCAGGTCCAAGACAGTATACACCTGTTTCTCTGAAAGAATCAGACTTATGTGAATCGGAGGTCCCAGGTGTCTTCACAGGCAGGAGAACTGTATTCCAGGGTGACTGGCAGGGGACCAGGATTCCTGTCTCTTCAGGACAGGTAATATCGACTGCAATTTCCCCTTTTGTGTCCAGGGTCACTGGGTATTGATTGATCTGGACATGGGTAGCTGAACTGGCTAGTCGAACAATTACAGGAACTTGGTGTTTCGTCAGTCCTGGAGGGTTTCTGCCCATACCCCCAAGACTCTTTGTTGTGAATTTGAGAGATAGTCAAATGTACCTTTTGATTGGAGGCAGAACTTTCAGCTAGGAGATATTTGTAGCTAGTCTTTCTCTGTCCTGCAAGCTCCTAAATCATAACATCAATACTTATTATTAATTATGAACATTTTGCCGATAGTGTAGGCTTGTTTCTAACTTGCTGTTATAACTTGAATTAACTCTCTGCCTCATGGCTTTATTACCTCGTCCCCATAGTGCCGGTCCTGCTCACTGTATGTCTCCCTGGCCTTTCCTGTATGTCTTCACAGCCTTTTCTCTGCCTCAACATCCTGCTATTATTAAACCAATCCAAGTGGTACATTTTGACAGTGTTCAAAAGATTATTTTACAACAGATATTCTTCTGACAGAGGGTAAGACACTAAAATTTTGCTGGGTATCTGTAAGTTTAACTGTGTCACATCATCAGAGAAGATGACTGTGGCTTCAGTTTATGCAAAGGTCTTGTACTAATCAGATCTGTGTTGCTGAACACCTTTTGAGCTACCTCAAGCAATTGAGATCTACTTATTCCTCTGAATTTTTTTTATTTATTTTTCAGTTTAAATTTAGATTAGAAACAAGGTTGCTTCACAAGTCAGTTTCAGGTCCCTCTCCCTTTCCCTCCCCTCCTCCCTTGCCCTCCTCCCAACCCACCCATTATCCCCTCATTTCCCCAGGGAGGGTGAGGCCCTCCATGGGGGTGTCCATAGTCTGTCATTTCATACAGGGCAGGGCCTAGACCCTTCCCCAAGTGTTCAGGGTGAGAGTGCACCTCACATTGTTGGATGGGAGTCCTAAGTCCTTGTGTATACTCGGGATAAATACTGATCTACTACCCAAGGCTCAATAGATTACCTAGGCCTCCTCACTGACACCCACATTCAGGGGATCTTGATCAGTCCCATGCTGGATTCCCAGGCTGATGCCTGGGATTCAAGAGTTAACCTTTGTCAGGTCAGCTGTTTCTGGGGGTTAAACCAGCCCAGTCTTAATCCCTTTGGTCATCAGTCCTCCCTCTCTGTTACTGGCTTTCTTGAGTTCAGCTCAGTACTTAACCATGGGAGTCTGCCTCTTCTTCCGTCAGCCACTGAATGAAGGTTCTGTTTCCCAGACTCTCTGGCCATGGGATTGTAGGCTGCCACTCCCCAGATCTATGTCTAAAATCCATATATGAGAGAGTACATGCCATGTTTCTCTTTTTGTGACTGCGTTACCTCACTCAGGATGGTTTCTTCTAGTGTCATCCATTTGCCTGCAAATCTCAGGATTCCATTGTTTTTTTTCTGCTGAATAGTACTCCATTGTGTAAATGTACCACATTTTCTCTATCCACTCTTCAGTTTTCCTTTGAATTTTTAAACTTAAATAACTTTTTAAATATCTGGGACCCAACTGGGTAACAAAGGAAATCTTTGTAGCAGCTGTCTCTAATCCATCTAAAAAGAACCTAGTAAAAATTGTCTCCTTGGTTTATATTGGTCAGAAGGGAAAATCTGTTCTATCCACACTGCATTGTCCGGCAGTGACCCTCCTGCCTGGCCTGGGGGTGATTTTTTTTCAGAGAAAGGTAGGTTTTGAGTTTTTCAATTATGCAGATTACTGGCAAAAATGGAGTTATAAAACATGAAAGAGGAAGGAATGTAACTTTTTTTCCTTTGGGCTCAGCCCAGGAGAACTGTTCCCCTTCCTATGGGCTTTTTAGGAAGCAATTTACACCTTGGGGAATCTTGGGGATCTAATTTCTCCTCCCTTTGTGCTTAGATGTCAGGGTACCCTCAAGATGAAAGGTCTGACCTTCATCACTTTCACCTGGGGACCAGGACCAACCCTGACCATGAGCAAGTAAGTCAAGTGATGAAACAGGTAAGCACTCTGCAAGTGGAGCAAACAGAACTTTTTAAGTGGAGCTTCTCTAGACAATCTGGCAGGGCCAAAAGGATTTGAGTCCCCAACAGGAAGGAGCACAGGTATTATGCATCTGGGGCAAGGGATGTCTCACACTAGAGATAAACACACACACACACACACACACACACACACACACACACACACAGAGAGAGACAGACAGACAGACAGACAGAGAGAGAGAGAGAGAGAGAGAGAGAGAGAGAGAGAGAGAGAGAGAGAGAGAGAGAGAGAGGTGTGGCCACCATACCCAAACAGACAGTGGTATCCAGTGATGTGTTGCAGAATATTTCTTTATACTGTGTGAAGCTATGTCACTATGTTTGGTTTAATAAAGAGCTGAATGGCTAATAGCTAGACCAGAAGAGGTTAGACAGGGCTTCTGAGGACAGAGGGGAAGGAAAAAGGAGGGTCACCAGCTGGCTGCAGAGGGAGTAAGACATACAGGAGGAAAGGAAAAAACCATGAGTCACTTGACAACATGTAGATGAATAGAAATGGGTTAATTTAAGTTATGAGTTAGTGGGACAAACCTAAGCTATAGGCTAAACATTAATAATTAATAATAAATCTCCATGTCATTGTTTGTGAGCTGATGGTTCCTGACAAGAAAGTTCATCAACAGTGATGTAGATGTCATGTGGATTCCAGACACTGAATCAGCAGCTGTGTCAGACCTCTCCTATGTGTCCCAACAGAAGGTGCCTTAACCAGGCTCACCTCTGGAAGTGACAGACCAGGTGACTTTCTAGTTTATTTTTGGGTGGAGGTGTCAGGTTCCTCCAAGTCTTTAGACAGCAATTGATCCAAGGGAATCTTGGGGATGTGAAACTCAGGTTGCCCACCCCCTAGGAGTCCTTATACCACCACACTCTTCCCTGCTCCAGGGGGCTCTGAGACACCCTCCTCAGTGTCTCAAGGTTTGGAGTCTGGAGATCTTAGTGGAACCTCCAGAAATGTTGTGGGGTACTCACCAGAGAAGACTGCCCAGACATGGGTTTAATCTAACAGAAAGTCTTTATTAGCTGTCCAGTGACTGCAATGGATGCTCTGGATCCCAGTGTAGCCCTGAGCCTTTCTCTTGGGGGAGCTTTTAGGCTCAAAAACCATGCTCTGGGTTGACATACTTCAGTTAACAAGAACAGTTAGCCAGAAGCAGAACTACAGAAGCCAAAAAGCAAGGTTAGTACATTTAGAGACTTTCCCAGAACTATGGACTTTGATGGGTTAGGTCTTTTTTTTTTTTCATTTTTGGCAGGTGGTGTTGTCTGTGTGCTCAGTTTTGCAGCCAGAATGATACTTCCATCATGGAGTCAGTTTTGCTAAGGTCTGCTTGGGAGCCTAATGAGGTCTGGGGCCCTGTTACAGTTTTCAGTATGTGTGAGAATCCCAGAGAAATAGGTTCTAATACCAATGGAGTAATGAACTTGCCAATGAGAGTGAGGGCAAGCAGGCAAAGAGCTAAGCTTACTTCTTTTTTTTTCCTTTTTTTTCTTTTGGTTTTACGAGACAGGGTTTCTTTGTATTGTTTTGGAGGCTGTAGGTCCAGCCAAGCCTCGAACTCACAGAGATCCGCCTGCCTCTGCCTCCCGAGTACTGGTATTAAAGGCTTGCACCACCACAGCCCGGCTTCTAAGCTTACTTCTTTAATGTCCTTTATATAAGCTACCACCCAAAGGTGTGGCCCAGGTTTAAGATGGGTCTTCCCATTTCAAATGATCCAATCAAAAAAATTCCTTACAGGTGTATCCAGCAGCTTAGGTTTTATTTTATTCCAAATGTAGTCAAGTTGACAACCAAGAATAGCCATCACAATTCCACCCCTTGTCAGCTTGACACAACATCACATCTTCTTATGTTATCCTTAATTTCTAAATGAAAATTATAACCAGGTCATGATTATTGGATGCTGATTCAAAACATATACTGCCTTCTGGAGAACACTGTCCCAACCCTCCAGACTGCTGCTACCTAGTGGGCACTGTAACTGTGTCTTCAAGAGGACATTACATCTTTCTATCAGGCCAGCTGCTTCGGGACTACATAGTGAACTCTAGGTCAGCCAGGGCTGTATAGAAAGACCCTATCTCAAGTAAGTAAATACATGAATATATATCATGTTAGACACATTTGGGAAACATTCTCAGGTTGATAGGGTTTTCTCCCCAACTATATTGAACTTAATGTCTGCTAAGTCCCTAAAACACAAGGTCTGGAAAATAAAAATTCTTAACTTTAGAAAAGAAAGTGACATTTTCCTTTCTTCTGTAGGCTCCTAGTACCTGGGTAGCTGTCAAGGTTTGTCACACATTGGATACACAGTTAGATTCAACCTAAATCATCAATTAGCCTGTAAGTTAAAGATGGATTACATGGTAAAGATAAATTAGTATTTATGCTAATTCTTACTAATTCTCTTCTATTTTGTTTCCTTTTGGGATAGAGGCTTGGTTTTATAGCCAAAGTGGCCTGAGTTTCTTGAGTGACTGAAAATCTAGGTATGTGTCACCACATCTGACTTAATTTTTCTCATTGGTCTTAAGTTATGTTCTGAAATATTAAAGATGTGTTACATTTGTTTATGCTGTGTAACATTTCTTTAATGATGCAACAATATGAAGCATTCTTTTATGTTGCATTTGTTTAACTCTGTAAAGATGTGTTACTTTGCCTGTCTAGAATAACTGATTGATTGATCTAATAAAGAGCTGAATAGCCAATGGCAGGGCAGAAGAAAGGATAGGCAGGGCTGGCAGGCAGAGAGAATAAACAGGAGAATAAATCTGGGAGGAAGGATCAAGGAACGCGGAAAAACAGGAGAGGAGAATGCCAGGGACCAGCCACCCAGCAACACAGATTTGCCATGAAGTAAGAAGTAAAGAAATGTAAGTATATAGGATAAAGATAAAAGCCTAAGGCAAAAGGTAGATGGGATAATTTAAGAAAAGCCAACTAGAAAGAAGCCAAGCTGAGGCCAGGTGTTTATAAGAAAGAATAAGCCCCCATGTGTTTAGTTGTGAGCTGGGTGCCAGGTCCCCAAATATCCAAAGATCCAATAGCCAAAGGAGTAACAGTAAAACAAAATAGAACAAAAACAAAATCCAAAAAACCTGCGTTTTGATGTACCAACATGAGGATTAAATATCCCTATGGCCTGAGAAAGCTGAACAAAGGGGGGGAAAGATATGTGTCGCCTTTAAGAAATTCTGACTCAAAGAAGAGAATGTAAACAGCTGTTTTCATGATAAATAGAATTTAAAAACTAAGTAAAAAAAATCCTGCCACAGTGCAGAGCACTGGCATTCGATAGCTGGGGGCTTGAATGCAGTTCCTGGTCAAATGCACCTTTTGACCAGGCCTTGAGATTTAGCCTTGGCTCTCACAAACATAGAAGCAGGCAGAGCCAACCAATGAAGAGCCCACCTGTAGCTTAGCAGTTTAAAGTTTGCTCACATGGTCAAAAAAGCCTAAATAATATAGGTCCAGATGGGGGGGGCACCTCTAAACAGGTTCCAGTGTGTTTTGTGATGTGCGTAGGCTTAAGAAAGAAATAAAAGGAGTATAGACAGTAAGAGAAAGAAATAGTTTAAAAATGATAAAGTTTATAAAGAGAGAGTAAAAGTAATATAAAAGAAAAAGCCACATAACAATGGAAATACACAGGGAGTATGGATCCTATATAAACAATATTGTGTTGATTTTGAATTTTTTGATTGTTGATAAGCAAACAACAGCTGACAAAAGATGTGGGATTGAAAGGACTTGAAATAAACCAGGCTAGATATTTTAAGAATGACTTAACTTTAAAATGGCAACAAAAAAATTTGTCAAATGAAAGTTAAAAATGCTTTGGAGAAAATGTTTTGCTTTTGTTTCCACAGGATACAAGAGACTGTGGATTCGTTCCAGATTAAGGCGGAACAGCTTTGACTAGGGGGAGACTTCCTGAAACTTGGCAGGTGATATCTATCAAAGGTTACTGCTGGCCAGGCTGTGGTGGCACACACCTTTAATCCCAGCACTCGGGAGACAGAGGCAGATATATCTCTGTGAGTTCAAGGCCAGCCTGGTTCCCTGAGTGGGTTCCAGGACAGGTTCCAAAGCTACAGAGAAATCTTGTCTCAAAAACAAAACAACAATAACAAAAAAAGTTACTGCTGGTCTTCCCAGGACTTGACCATTATCTCAGTTTTTCTCAGGAACCCCTAAAGATGCTTTGTTCACAGACAATAGGAAGCAGTCTAGAGAAAATGATGTCCACATTCCCAACAAATGGTGTGGGTGGCTGTTGGTTATTTGAGGGGTTATGGATGTTTGTTATTAGGGAAATATAGTATATTGATACAAATTTAAAGTTATTTTGTTACACTTTATATATGTTTCTACTCTTGTCTTAAAATGAACCTATGCAGTTCATTTTAAAATTTAAGGTAATATTCTAGTTTTTTTTAAAGATGTGTTGCTTTTTTAAAGATTTATTTATATATTATGTACACAGTTCTGCCTATATGTATGGTTGCCAGCCAGAAGACGGCACCAGATCTCATAACAGATAGCTGTGAGCCACCATGCAGTTGCTGGGAATTGAAGTCAGGACTTCTGGAGAGCAGCTAGTGCTCTTAACTGATGATCCATCTCTCCAGCACCACTATTCTAGTTTTTAAAAGCTATTATTAAAAACTATGTAGTATAATCAAGAAACATAGGTTAGTAGTCATCTGTAACAATCAAATTTATAGATATGTTTGGTATGTTTTCAAGATCATACAGAGATATATTTTAGATAGATGGTCTTCAAACACTTCAAAGACCCATAGAATATGACATTTAAAATGTTTTGTTAATATAGGGTTTTTCATGGCAATGTGACATGTCTGCTCTTGGCAGCACCAGTTTACTTCAGATGAAGAGCATTGAAAAAACTCCTTACAGAGTTTGCTTTCATTGTGGCAAGGTTAGCCACTGGGCAAAGAAACTGCTTTTGCCTTGACTGATTGACAGTATGCTGTATAAACTGGACATGCAGGGCCCACACGAAAGTGACTGCTAAACTTCACCAAAACAAGGTGGGATGGTCTTTTAGGGTTCCTGTTTCACAAAAGAGTCTACCAGATATTCTGCAGGACAAAGAGGAAAGCAACTGATGAATTTTACCAATACAAGGTGAGGCAATCCTTCAAATTTCCTGCTTCACTGAAAAGTTTACGAGATACCCTAGGCATGTAGCCCGAAGTTGGATGCCCCAACATTGCAGAACTTTTGGTTACTGTCCAGGAAGCAAGATGTCTCTGTTGTTAGGTATTATTACATCCTTTTGGGTCTTTGATGGATTTGAAGACTAGTTATAGTTGCACTTTTAGTTATAATTAAAAGTAAATTAGGCATAAAAGTTTGATTTCACTAAGATAGGATAGATAACAGTATTTTCTCTGAAAATGCTAAATACTAATGGACTGAATGTTGTAAATATAATTCTTACATGATAACTTTTGTTGTATATAGTTTTACTATGTTAAAGTTAAAACCTTTCATTTTTATTTAGACAAAAAGGGGGCAATGTTATAGAACATTAGTTAAAGATGTGTTACATTTGTTTATGTGGTGGAACATTTCTTTAATGATGCAAAGATGTTTGAATTCTTTTATGTTGCATTTGTTTAACTGTAAAGCTGTGTCACTGTGCCTGTCTTGATTGATCTAATAAAGACCTGAACGGCCAGTAACAAGGGAGGAGAAAGGAAAGGTGAGGATGGCAGGCAGAGAGAATAAATAGAAGGATAAATCTGGGAAGAATGATCAAGGAATGAGAAAAGGCTACACATTAAGCCTGGCGTAAGGAATAAAGAAAGGTATAGAGGATAAAGATAAAAGCCCAAAAGCAAAAGGTAGATAGGATAATAAAGTTAGAAAAGCTGGCTAGAAACAAGCCAAGCTCAGGTTGGGCATTCATAAGAAAGAATAAGTCTCCGTGTGATTATTTGGGAGCTGGATGGCAGGCCTGCTGAAGAGGCAAATATCCAAGAGCCAAAAGAGTTTAAAAAAAAAGCAGAATTACAAAGTTATATTCTTTGAGGCTGAAAGACTATTTTGTTAGAGTTTAAATGACCCCCACCCCCAAGGTAGGCAAGCAGTAAAAGCAGTAAATCTCAGAAGCTGCCTGGAGGAGAAAAGAAGAAGTGGGGGGAGGCATGGTGTTTGAGCTAAGCAGGCAGGCATGGAGGTCAGACACACACTGACAAGAGAGACAGGAAGACTTTAGAGCAAGAGTACAGAATCCCAAAATGCCAGAAGAAGCATTCTTAGGACTTGGCGGACATCTGCAAGATAAACTAAAGAAGAAGGAAATGTTGGATTCTGAATGTTGACAGGGCCAAAGAGTCTTATGGCAACCTCCTTGCAGCCTGTAGGGACTATGATAGGGGAGGGCAGGAATTTGGAAAAAAAGTACAGTATCTCATTTTTGGTTTTTGTTTTTATTTTGAGACAGAGTTTCACTATGTGGCTCTGACTGTCCTGAAACTCACTGGGTAGAACCAGACTGGCCTTGAACTCACATAGATCTGCCTCCCTTTCAGGTGCTAGGATTAAAGGCATGCACCTACATGCCCAGGTCAATGTATGTCTTTAGAATGACTTAGTGTGTCTTCCTAGCAGTTGTCCCTCATTCTGGTACCTTGACCTGCTCAACTGGAGTGTAAGTCTCTGTAGCTTTTGAGGCTGTCCTGGAACTCGCTCTGTAAACCAGGCTGGCCTCCAGCTCACAGATAACCATCTATCTGCCTCTGCCTCCCGCGTTCTGGGATTAAAGGTGTACTTTTTTTTTACTATTTAGAACAATTTATAAATTTATATTTATATTTATTTTGATCATGTTTTTCCCCTCCCCCAAGTCCTTCCAGGTTCTCTCTGCCTCCCTAGCCCACCCAACTCACCCAACTTTAATTTCTTTCTCAAAAACGAACAGACTGCCTCCAAACCAAGAAAACAAAATAAATCTTTACTCCAAAAGATAAAAAGCAAATAAATAACCAAATAAATAAAAACATGCACACACACACACACACACACAGAGACAGAGAGACAGAGAGAGAGAGAGAGAGAGAGAGAGAGAGAGAGAGAGAGAGAGAGAGAGAGAGAGAGAGAGAGAGAAGAGAGATGGAGTTCATTATATGTTAATCAACTTCCTGGAATGGTTTATATACCCAGTGTCATTCCATTAAGTTTTCCTCTCCTAGAAGGTATAAATGACAGTTTAGTTGTTAACTTTTACTTTAGGGGCTAGGTTTTCATTCATTTATTCATTCACTTTTTAAATATAACAATATAAAATATAGTAAGATATAACAAAAACTATCACATTGAATTTGGAAAACAAGAACTAACAGAAGGAAAAGAGCCCAAAAGAATACACAAGAATCAGAAACCCACTCATTTGTACACTCAGGAATCCCATAAAAGCACTGAGCTAGAAGCCATAATATATACACACAGGACCTGATGCAGACCTGTGCATGTTGTCTCAGTCTTGATGAGTTCAAATGATCTTGGTTCATGTTGATTTAGAGGGCCTTGTTCTCCTGGTGTCCTCCATCCTCTCTGACTATCACCTCCTCTTCCTCAGGGTGCCCTGAGCTCTGAGGGAAGGCATATGATGGAGACATCCCATTTATGGCTCACTGTTCCAAGGTCTGTCAGTCTCTGCATGTCTGGCTGTGGGTCTCTGTATCTGTTCCCATCTGCTGCAGGAGGAAGCGTCTCTGATGATGGCTGAACAAGGTACTGATCTATGACTATAGCAGAATGTCATTAGGAGTCATTTTATTGTTACTTTTTCTAAGAACCGTAATATTTGGTTTGACCCTAGGCCTCTTGGCTATAGTTTGGATATTCTCATGGGGCCCCTTTGGCCAGCAACTCAATTAGATGTAACCCAATCCCCGCACTGGGAACTTCATTGGGTGACAAGAGATGCCCAGTTAGGACTCTTTGTCTTCCTCATTATTTGGCAATTTCATTTAGGTCACCTTTGTATCGGTATATATTTTAGTAAGTTTCTACTGTATTACATTTCTATACACCCTTTCAAACATTCCATAATTATAGCTGCAAACATCCCATAATTATAGCTGTCTCTCCCTGTATTTCCTCCCACTCCTCCTCTCCTTCCCTACTTGATCCTCCCACGCCCCCAGTCTATCCATAGCTATCTATTCTATTTCTCTTTCCTAGCCAGGTCTGTCTGTTCCTTCTAATCCCTTACTCTATACTTATGTTCTGTGGTTCTATGGATTGTAGCTTGATTATCATTGACTTCACAGCTAATATCCACATGTAAGTGAATTTATATCATATTCATCTTTCTGGATCTGAGATACCTCACTCGGGATGATTTTTTTATATTATCTTGTTGCAGGCAACCCTGCTCAGATACCTCTTGGGGGAGGGGGTGAAAAGACCCAGACACTGGGAGTCGAGTGAGTAGCAGAGTGTGGCTCAGGCACCTATTCTGCTGCATTGTCCTTTTCTCAGTGGCATCTCCAGTCAGTCTCTGTGTCAGCAGTCTCTGGGCCCAGTGGCAGGCCTTACATTACCTCAGGGAGGAAATGCCTGCCAGGCATGCTCATGCAGGCCTGTTTGGTCAGGGCGACTTTGACTTGGGTAGGCTGGCTGGCAGTTTCTTCTACATTATTTGCGGCAATTTTGAAGGGTGTTATTTCCCTGATAGCATTCTCAATCTGTTTGTCATTTGTATATTTTGGAGGACTAATCACTTTTTTAAGTTAATTTTGTACCCCGCTACTTTGCTGAAAGTGTTTATCATATGTAGGAGTTTCCTGGTGAAAATGTTTGGTTCATTTGTGTCATGTCATCTGCAGCTAAAGATAATTGACTTATTCCTTTCCTATTTGTATCCCCTTGATCTGCTTCAGTTGTCTTATTGGTCTCCTAAGTCTTCAAGTACTATATTGAATAGATATCGAGAGAGTAGACATCCTTCTTTTATTCCTGATTTTAGTGGAATTTCTCTGAGTTTGTCTCCATTTGATTTGGTGTAGGCAATAGGCTTGCCTCAAACTGCCTTATTATATTTAGGTATGCCCTTGTATGCCTAATCTCTCCAGGTCTTTTTTTTTTATCATGAATGGGTATTGCACTTTGTCAAAGGCCTGTTCTGCATCTCATGAGATGATCATCTGGTTTTTGTATTTTGGTTTGTTTATATGCTGGGTTATATTTATCAGTTTACATATGTTGAACCATTCCTGCATCCCTAGGATGAAGCCTACATGATGGTGGTGTGTGATCTTGATGAGCTCTTGGATTCCATTTACAGATATTTTTGAGTATTTTAGTGCCTATGGTCATAAGTGAAATTGTTCTGTAAGTCTTTCTTTTTGGGGGGGTCTTTATGTGGTTTGGTTATCTGGGTAGCCATGGCCTCATAAAATTAATTAGGCAATGTCCCTCCTGTTTCTGTTTCGTGGAATAATTTGAGGAGTATTATTGGCATGAACTCATCTTTGAAAGTCTAGTAGAATTCTAAGCTAAAACCATCTAGACTTGTGCTCTTTTTAGTTGGCACCCTTAATGACTGCTTCTAATTCACTAGGGGTTATATGTCTGTTTAAATTGCTTATTTGATCTTTATTTAACTTTGGTAATTGGCCTGTATCAAGAAAAATATCTGTTTCTTTTAGATTTTCCAATTTGTTTGAGTACAGGTTTTTAAAGTATGTCCTTATGATTCTTTGTATTTCCTTACTGTCTGTTGTTCTGCCCCCCTTTTCGTTTCTAATTTTGTTAACTTGGATATCTTCTCACCACCTGTTAGTTAAGTTGGATAAGAGTTTGTCAATCTTATTGTTTTCTCAAAGAACCAATCCTCTCTTTCACCAATTTTTGTATTATTTTTGTTTGTTTCTATTTTATTGATTTCAGCCCCAAGTTTGATTATTTTTTAACTTTTTTATTATTTTAATTTTAAATAGCTTGCTTCACATGTCAGTCCCAGTTCCCTCTCCCTCCCCTCCTCCGGCATACCCCCACCATTCCCCCCAGCCTCCCACCCTATCCCTACTTCCTTCCACATAGGTCATATCCAGAGTCTGTCATTTCGCTCAGGGCAGGGTCCAGGCACTCCCCTAAGAGCCCAGGCTGAGAGATCATCCCTCTATGTGTTATGGACACACGAAGTCCATTTGTATGCCAGGAATAAACACTGATCCACTGCCCAGGACCCGATAGGTTGCCCAGGACTCCTCACTGAATTTCACACTCAGGGGGTCTGGATCAGTCCCAGCTGGCCTCCCAGCAGTGGGTCTGGGGTTCAAGAGCTCCCCCTTGTTCAGATCAGCTGTCTCTGCTGGTTTCGCCAGCCCATTCTTTGCCAATTTGTTCATCGCTCCTCTCTCTCTGTCACTGGGTTCCATGAGTTCAGTTCAGTGTTTAACTGTGGGTGTTTGCCTCTGCTTCCATCAGTCACTGGATGAAGGTTCTAGGATGGCATATAGGGTAGACGTCAAGTTCATTATCAGGAATAGGCATTCAAGGTGGTCTCTCCACTATTGCTTAGCTTGCCAGTTGGCGTCATCCCTTTAGGTCACCAGAGGTCTCACTGGTGCCAGATCTCTTTTCTAACCTATGACTCCCTCTATTATAGTATTTCTCATCCTGTTCTCCCTCTATTTTAACCCCCCAACCTTCCTTTTCCCCCATGACCTACTCTCTCTTCCTCTTCTCCCCCTCTCTTCTTCCCAGCTCCCACTCTGCCCCCTCCTCTCACCGTGTTCCCCATCCATTCAGAAGATCTTGCCTCATTCCTCTTCTCTTGGGTACCATGCATATCTCTCCTAGGTTCTTTCCTGTTTCCCAGACTCTCAGTCAGTGGAAGTGCAGACTGGCACTATCCTGATCCATGTCTAAAATCCATATATGAGTGAGTTCATACCATGTTTGTCTTTTTGTGACTGGGTTACTCACTCAGTGCCATCCATTTACCTGCGAATTTCAAGATTACCAACTGCATGTTTTGTACATAGTTGAAAAATAAAATATTATTATATTTTTACTTAGCAGGAAAGAGACAGTGATCAAGAAAGTGGAGATTGTCTGTCACACACTGCTGACCTTTTAATTTCTCTAAATACAGGAAACTCAACTACACATTCTGTGCTAATAGGGGCTTGCATTCACACTCTTCCTCCAAAAGGGAAATATTATCATATAACGATGAAGGTATTAAAAAGATGATTTTCCTCACCCTTTTGAGTTGTTGACTAGGGCCGTCCAAGAGACTTTTCTTGGTAGCTCTTCAGGATCTGAAGGTAAGTTCTTGTTGCTGAAGAAAATGCAAACTTCAAATCCATGAGTTAGAAGAAGTGAGCTCAGGGACCTGCAGACCTCCTCCCTAGGGCTGCCTCTCACAGTGTCAGAAAGAGCTGCCATGGAGAAAAGTTATCAGTACCCCACCCAGGTGTAAAACCTACAAAATACAACGATGCTCAGCATGGCAAGATATGCCCAAAGGTGCAATAGTGGCACTTATGTCTTGGGGATAACTATATGCCACCCAATTGGAATTAAGGCCCACTCAGTAGGAGGGATTTCATGCCTGGTACCAAAGACTTAGTGAACTACCCATGACTGATGAAGCCATGGAACCTAGAGGAGAAGCTCCTACTGCTGTGGAATAATCCTTCCGTACACTGTATGAACATGTGTCGCTATGATTGGTTTAATAAACAGGCTGACTGGCCACTAGCTGAGCAGGATAAAGTTAGGCAGGAAAGCCAAACTGAATGGGTGGAGTCAGAGGAGTTGCTAGCCAGACGGAAAACAAGTCATACAGGCAAAATGGGATAGAGGTAAAAGCCATGAGCCTTGGGGCAGCACATAGATTAATAGAAATGGGTTAAGTTGTAAGAGCTAGTTAGTAACAAACCTGAGCATTTATAATTAATATAAGTCTCAGTGTCTATCGAGAGTGGCTGCAGGACAGGAAAACTCAGCATATATACTACCGTCACTTTCCTAAACTGGTGTAACATTTAACTGCATTCTCAAGATTTATCTGTATACACACAGAAAAAATGTAGACCTCGCTCCTCATAGAAGACACCTTTTACAGCAGATGAAATTCAAAGATCTATAACTAGTCAAAATGCAGAGAACAAATGACAGTGGGATGCCCAGCCCCAACTGAAGCATCCACAACACAACCTATTTACCTAAGAACCAGGGACCCTCTTGGAAGAGGGAGCAGATGGAGTGTAAGAGCCAGAGGAGCAGATGGAAGTTTGCTGTGAGACAGTGAGATAGTGCCTCTACATATGCCGCCAGGGGAGTTGCACCCACAAAACCTCAACAGTATGATCACCTGAACAAGGACACACCAGTTGGCATGTCAGTATGGAAGGGCGAAGCTCACAAGGCCCTACATTTAGATGGAGAGCTACTGCATTTTGCTTTCCTGGTGTGCGTGCGCGCACGCGTGTGTGTATGTGTGTGTCTGTGTGTGTGTGTGTCATTATCCATTCCTCCCCCTTCCCCCACCCTTTTTACCTGTTGTTTCGCTTTCGTAGACCCCCCCTTTATGCTTTCATGTGTGTGTATATGTATGTATATTTAAATCTAATTTCAACACAGGAGAGAAAATGTGGTATTTGCCTTTCTGTGTCTGATTTATTTTCCTTAGTACGATTTATCATTTCCAATATGATCCATTTTCCTGAAAATGTCATGACTTCTCTTCACAGCTTAGTAAAATTCTTCTTTTGTGTGTGTGGCAATTTCATTTTTTAAAAATATAAATTAAAACAATCTTATTTTACATACCAGTCCGAGTTCCCTCTCCTTACCATCTTCTTACTCCCCCACCATCTCCCCATCCCAACCCCCATCCACTCCTCAGGGAGGGTGAGGCCTTCCATGGAGGATCATCAAAGTCTGTGACATCATTTGGAGCAGGACTTAGGCCCTCCTCCGTGTATCTAGGCTGAGAGAGTATCCCTCCATAGGGAATGGGCTCCCAAAGCATATTCGGTGTGGCACATTTTCATTGTGTGCTCCTCTGTTGATGAACAGCTAGGCTGAATCGTTTTCTTGGCTACTATGAATAGTGCAGTGCTAGACATGGGTGGACTACTGTCTCTATTTGCATGCTGGCTGACTTGGTGCCGCCACCGTGGGTGTGTAAGTCTGTGTTTGCTGCCTTTGATCCCTTTAGAGTATACAGCCTGTAGTGATATATCTGGATAGTGTAGCAGTTGTGTTTGTAGTGTTCAGAACAACAGCTTGCTGGGTTCTATCATGTTTAGACTAATTTACATTCTCACAGTCAATGTATATAAGGCTCTCTTTTTCCATACAGCCTTGCCAGCATTGGTTGTTTTCTTAGTCATTCTGACTGGACAGTCGTAATCTTCATTTTCTTGCATTTTTCTCTTCTGGTTTTGAGTGTTGTTCCTTTGTATTTTTGACAGGTTGACTATAGCATGTCCTGGAGAGGATTTCTCTGGCCATGTCTGTGTTTGGGTGCTCAATTCTTCCTATAGATTTGAGAATTTCATTGAGCCTGTTCCCTGTGCCTTCTTCTTTATCTCGGCTGCTTCTATCTCTTGGGTTCTTATACTTATTACGTTGATCATATTTTGATATTTGTAGATGATGTAGTCTATAGTCATGATTATTCATAGGTTGTTTTTGTTTTTTTACAGTTCTTGAGATTGAACCTAGGGCCCCCTATACACTAGGCAAAACCATTTGCTTCTGAGCTATAGCTTCCTCATTTCTTTGTTTGGTTTTAGGGTTTTTGTTTGGTTTTGGTTTTGGTTTGTTTAGGACCAAGTCACACTATAGTTCAAGCTGGCCTGTAACTGTAATACTCCTCCCACAGCCTCCAGAGTGTTGGGATTACCTGACATTTTTTTTTCTACTTTATTGGTACCTGAATGTAGTATTCCCTCTACTTCCATCTCTGAAAACCTTTTTTTTTTTTTCTGGTCAGTCAACTTGATCAGTGGCTATGCTTTCCCGTGTATTTACTACTTGATTCATTGGTATGTCTATTTTTTTTTCATTTCCAACATTTCCATTTGCTTTTCATTTTTCAAACTCTCAATTTCCCTGCTGAATTTTTGGCTCATGTTGTTAAATGTCTTTTTTGTTTACTTACTTGCTTCTTTGTCCATATTACTGACTTTCCCATACATTTTGTAGGTTTTCTTGTCTGTGTTGATGGCTTCCCTCCAACTGGAGGTTGAGAGACTTGTTCCCAGCCCTAGTGGGCACCATGAAGCCCTTAGAGACTCTTTGTGATCACACTTGTGGGTTAAATGACATCCACACTGCAATAACACTAACCATAAACCCATATACATAAACCATAATTCCACAATTGCAGGATAAGTTGGAAAAAATAGAACTTACAGAGAAGTGGAAATAGATGTAGCTGGGCCCATAAGAAAAATTGCCAGTTTGAAGAGCAAATAAGCAGAACCGTGGTTTATTCCATCCTCAGTTACAGGCAGGTCCACACAAAACAGTGGCAGGGAGAGGGAAAAAGAAAAAGAAGAAGGAAAAAAAATTCCCTTATTTAAAAGGTGAAAAGAAGAAGGCTCCACATAATTTTTTCAAACACAAAGGACTGGGTAAGAAAGTTTTTTTTTTAACACAAAGGGCGGGGGTAAGAGGCATACCTGGTCGCTGCCTTGTACAATGCTACCATCTAGTGGCCAGAAAAAGTCACGTACATCCCAAGAAAACTGGCTTTCACACATACAATCCTAAAGACAAAAGTTGCTGCAACAAAGCAAAATAAGAGGACGCTTTTAGATCCCGGAAAAGGAGACCGTGATCTTTAGCCTCCAGAAAGCTTGGTGCACTAATCGAAAATGTGGCGACGCGAACAGTAGGTCAGCATGTCACCTGCCTCATACCCTAAGCTACATGTAAAAACTCATAGGCAGGATAAAAGCACAATCAAAAGACAGGAAAGTGCCAGCGACTACAGTGGGGACCTTGGCGCCAACCTGCCACCTGCCAATCCAAACAAAGGGCTTGTTGTGCCTATCCTTTGTGTCCTGACCCGGCTGCTATTGTTCTGACTCCGAGGGCAGGCATGAGGAAGGCAGCCTTTCTCGGGCAGGTTCCCTGGGCGCACTTAGTGCCTATAAGCATATATTCTGTAGTCGGTCTAGTTTATCCCGTCTGGCTTCCAGAATTCTTTCTTTGTGTTGGTGACTCGAAGAACTGAAGAAAATGGCGACTTTCTTTGGGTGTCGGTGAATTTAGGTTTCTTTGGCCACTAGATGGCACTGTTGTATAGCGTGAGTGCCTTGCTCTCTGTTCTACCCCGCCCTTTGCGCTTTAAAAAAATGGAATGACGGGTTTTTTTTTTTCTATTCAAAAATTCTTAGCCTGCCTCTTCCCAGCTTGGGCTAGGCAGGCTAGAATCTGACAATTGTGTTTTATCTTTGTGAACTCTTTCTTACCCAAAATCCACCACCTGTGCTTTACATTTTTTTTTCCACACTGGTTGGGTGGTCTGGGCACCCAGGCACCCCACCGCCTCAGATTTGAGCTTCTCTGAAAGACCTTTGCCAATCTTTATTAACTAATTATTTTAATGTAGGCTTCACTTAAACTCTTCACATTTCTATAGAAGCATATTGATGAAAATTCTTACAATCCCATTACTGCATGACCGCCGTTAATTATACTTTATTATAGTTTCTTTTATTTATTATTTTCATTTATACCGGCACATTGAAAATACATGGACTTTAGTGTTTTCAGCTTTGCCCTATCATAATTTTGAAATCATTACACTGAATTCCACTGGCATATATAATTAAATTTAAATTTTTCATATATTGTATTTTATGTTTCCTTGTCTTAGTAATCATCTTGAAAGAGTGGATGTTTTTTCCTCTAATGTGACAAAACTGTTTAATAAGTGATAGGAAAAACAGAAATAAACATTAACACTCTATCTCAATGGCAGGTATCTTTGCTTTCTCGTTCATCTTTTTTTTTTTTTTATTCTACCATAAAAACAGAACAGGGCCCAACAATCTCTGTCCCTTGTTAAGAGCATTGATGTGGAGATAGCCCAGTTGGTAAAATTCTTTGTGAGAATATGAGGACCTAACTGCACATTCCCAGTGCATACTCAAGTAAAAGCCTGGCATCGCAGCATGTGTAGAAAGTTCACCAAGGTGTGTGCTGCCAAGGGGAAGGCTTTCGCTGTATATAGGAGGCAGAGGCCAGAGTGTGGCCAGCAAAATGGACAGTGCCGTTCGGGCTTAGGGAGGACCAAAAGAGGAGACAAGAAAGAGAACCAAGAGGGAGGGGGCCAAGAGAGTGAAGGCCAAAATGGCAGGGTTATATAGGCAGGAGAAGGTGGGGGAAGGAAAATCCATGAGCTGGAGACATCTAGGGTAGGGGTGGGGTGAGAAGAGCCATGGTACTGAGTGATTCTGAGAGTCTGGGGGCCAGCATGCTCTTTGGTATGCTACTAGGCACCACAGGGAGTCATCTGTGAGTTTCTTTTGGTTTGGACCTGACAGCCTGCACCCCTAGTCCTTGAGCTGGGTGAGTGGAGACAAAAGACCCCTGGGATTTTCTGGCCTGTGAGTCCCAGGTTCAGTTAGAGACCTTGTCTCAAATAAGGTGGAGAAATACCAGGCATTAACATTCATATATGATAACACCCCCCATACCCCGCCAGAACAAAATAACAGCAAAACCCAAGACCTGTTGTTGCCTAAATAGTTAAAGCTTACAGATAATCTCATGAGATCATTTTACAATCAACCACATGGTCTCTGGAAAAAAATGTAGACTAAAGATTTAGGTCCTAACAATAAACAAAACAAAAAGGCAGCCCACAGAATGGGAAAAGGTATTCACTAATCCCACATCTGACAGAGGGTGATCTCCAAAATTTACAAAGAACTTAAGAAGTAAGTCTCCAAAACACCAAAGGACCCAATTAAAAAGTGGGGTCCAGAACTAAATAGAGAATTTTCAATAGAGGAGTCTAAAATGGCTGAGAGGCACTTGAGAAAGTGCTCAACATCCTTAGCCATCCGGGAAATGCAAATCAAAACAACTCTGAGATACCATCTCCTGTCAGGATGGCTAAAATCAAAAACACCAATTACAGTTTATGCTGGAGAGGATGTGGAAAAAAGGGAACACTCCTCCACTGCTGGTGGGAGTGCAAACTCATACAGCCACTTTGGAAATCAGTATAGAGATTCTTCAGGAAAATGGGAATCAGTCTTCCACAAGACCCAGCAATTCCACTGTTAGGCATATACCCAAAAGATACACATTCATACAAGGACTCCTGTTACACTAAGTTCATAGCAGCATTATTTGTAATAGCTAGATCTTGGAAGCAACCTAGATGCCCCAAAACTGAAGAATGGATAGAGAAAACGTGGTACATTTACACAATGGAGTACTACTCAATGGGAAAAACATGGAATCTTGAAATTTGCAGGCAAATGGATGTCACTAGATGAAACCATCCTGAGTGAGGTAACCCAGTCACAAAAAGACAAACATGGTATGTACTCACTCATATATGGATTTTAGACATGAAGCAGGGGAGTGCCAGCATACAATCCCACTGCCAGAGTCTGGGAAACAGAACCTTCATGCAGTAGTTGATGGGAGCAGAGGCAGACTCCCACAGCTAAACACTGAACTGAACTCCTGGAACGCAGTGACAGAGAGGGAGGAGTGATGAGCAAAGTGGTCAAGACTGGGCTGTTTTAACCCACAGAAACAGATGACCTGAACAAGTGGGAGCTCTTGGACCCCAGACTGATGACTAGGAGGCCAGCATCAGACTGATCCAGATGCCCTGAATGTGGGTGTCAGTGAGGAGGCCTACGCAATCTCTGGGGCCTTGGTTTATGAATAAACTTTGGGAGCCCATCCCACAATGGTGGATGCTCTCTCAGCCTGGACACATGGGAGAGGGCCTAGGCCCTGCCCTGCATGAAATGACAGGCTCTGGAGATCTCCCCAAGGAGGGCCTCACCCTCCCTGGGGAATGGAGTGGGTATTGGGTTGGGGGCTGGGAGGCTGGTGGAGGGACCAGGGAGGAGGCGGGGGAGAGGGAGCCTGGACTGACATGTGAAGCATTCGTGTTTCTAATTTAAATAAAATTATATTTAAAAAGTAAATGAAATTACAAAAAAAATTAGGTCCCAGTCTTGCTCTTACGATACAATCATGTGACAGTTTCTTCCCATTTTTAACGGGTGGGGAGATAGAGAGGAAGTACACTGTGGAATTTTGAGATAAAGTCTTAAGTAGCCCATGCTGTTCTCCAACTCACTACAAGCTCACAATGGCCTTGAACCCTAGATCCTCGTAAGTGTTGCCACCATGCCTGATGTAAATTTGTTCCCAACAAAGTGGTATTCTTTCAGAGATGAATTATCTGTGTGATCCTGAAGTCAGTAGTGATTTCATTCTATTATTTTAAGTTTTGATGTCCAGTAAATTATTGGAAATAATTCCATAGATTTTTTTTCTACTATACTGATTCCTTTTGTCCATTAAGAACCCAGGCATGAAAAAAAATGCATCATGATAGTCTTCATATCTACACTGTTTTCCAGTATAAATATTTCCTTCTTGTAAGGTGTGTGAAGTTCCCAGAAACAAAGCCTCCCCTGTGTTAAAGACTTTCCCAAGGCTGACTGACTGATGAGAACGTCTGTGATCACTGAGGGCTGGAATGGTGTAGGTGCAGGGCCAAATTAGCTGGAGTTATCCTTAACCCCTCCATAGCAATCTGTTGTCTACCTGAATTTGATGCGTCACTCTGCTGACTATCTGGTTAAATATATACATATAAATGGGTACATAGGCACCTAGCTTCCATCACCCAAAAGTATAAGAATGTCATCAGATAGCATCCGAGGCCTATAGCAGAGGTTTCTCAGCTTTGCTCTTACCTATCTACCTGATGTTTCTGACGAGCCAAAACTCCAGATCAACCTTCCCCAGCCTTAGCTCCTAGAGGCTAGGTTGTATGCAACAGGCCTAGGCCCAAAACTGAACAAACGGAGCTCCAAACCCCCCAGCATCCTGGGGACTGTTTGACCTCAAAAGAAACTTGCCTGTAGCCTCCAGGAAATTCAATTCTGAAAAATATTAGTACAATAGACCACCCGCAAGCTGTAGAAACCACAGAATATTCTCTCCAGTACCAACCTATGAGAAAAATGGGTACACAGGTATTACAAGACAAAAACATGACTTTGAAAAAAATCTCTTGATTGTTCCCCAGATGTCAACCAATTAGAAACTCGTACCTACTGATGTAATCCTGTAACTTTTGTCTTTAAAACCTAGCAGTAGACAGGGAACTTCACCCACTCTGGAGGCTGCTGCGACAGCTTGCTAGATGGGGTCCCTCCTGAACGGAAGTACAGAATAATCAATAACGAGGAAGGATAGAATAATCCATAAACCTTGCGCATTTGCATCGGTGGTCTGTCTCCCTGGTCTCTTTGGGGATCC